CAAACATTTGATCCAATTGGTTTATCGCATTCCACAATGACTGCCACTGCTTGCTGACATCATTTTGCATTTTTCAAAAAGAACTTCAGTTTGTGCTGGTGTCTTTTTAAACATTAACCCCCATGTTTACACTCCAAGAGTCTCCCTTGAAATAATTTTTATTTTCTTTCAAGGCTGAGGAACTTAGCCACTCCAGAAAGCGGGTTGAGCAACATGAAAATGAAGTTAGAAAACTACGAACAAGAGTGGAGGAGCTGAAAGTAGATTTGTCAAAGGCTGAAGATGAGGTATGTCTAACATGAACAAGCAGCAAACCTTCTGTGACAGTTTGAAAGAAATGACAATAGATCATGTTTGCTGTAGGTAGTGTTGGCTGACCCTATGGACCAAGCCGATATATCGACCGACACTTGGCAGATACGTCGGCAGAGTGTCAGTTGACACTCGTCTGATACATGGCTGATATATTGGTTGACATTCAGTTGAGAAACAGTTGAGTATCAGTCAGATGTCAATCAAGTGTCAGTCGATATGTTGGCTGTTACCCAACTGACAGTCAACCCCCACACATATATCAGCTGATGTATCAACTGATTCCGAACAAACACTCAACAAACACTCAACCAATACTCACTCAAATGACACTTGACTGATTGTTGGCTGACCGATTGGATATATCAGCCATGTATTGGTTGATACTTGGCCAATAATAACAAGGCCGGTACAAGGCCGATACATGGCCGACGTATTGACTGAGTGTCTGTCGATATATCGGTCGATAGTGTCAACCGACACTACTTACAGTAAACATGATCCATGATTATTACTAATGATTGAAAGTAAATTGTTGTAGCATTCACAACTGAGAAATGGTTACAAATTTGAGAAGAACGGCATGTGTTATCACCATTTTGAAGAAGCCAGACTGCAATTAGGTAGCTCTGTTTCCCTGCCTTACTTTACATGCTGCACCCTCAGTTTTAGTTTCAGAAAGTTGATGATATAAAATGCACAAAAAAATAAGTTGTGTGACACAAGTGAAGTAATTAAATGTTCCTTGTGCAAGGTGCAAGTGAGGCTAAACTTCACCATCTTCAAAGTAAAAACTACTATCCCTCAACCATTCCAAGTACTGGACATGACTTGTTCTACACAAGTTGAAGTCCTGCTTTCTTGAAGATTAGTTTAGTGCAAAACTACCTATGATGAAAGATGCCCTAAGTCCTGCCCATTGGTCCAAGTTCATTAACTGAATGATTTATTTTTACCATTCTAGCTGGACTCACAAACAAGCAATTNCCAACCGACAGTCAACCCCCACACATATATTAGCTGAAGTATCAACCGATTCCGAACAAACACTCAACAAACACTCAACCAATACTCACTCAAATGACACTTGACTGATTGTTGGCTGACTGATTGGATATATCAGCCATGTATTGGTCGATACTTGGCCAATACAAGACCGGTACAAGGCCGATACATTGCCGACGTATTGACTGAGTGTCTGTCGATATATCGGTCAATAGTGTCAACCGACACTACTTACAGTAAACATGATCCATGATTATTACTATTGATTGAAAATAAATTATTGTAGCATTCACAACTGAGAAATGGTTACAAATTTGAGAAGAACGGCATGTGTTATCACCAATTTGAAGAAGCCAGACTGCAATTAGATAGCCCTGTTTCCCTGCCTTAATTTACATGCACCCTCAGTTTTAGTTTCAGAAAGTTGATGATATAAAATGCACAGAAAATAAGTTGTGTGACACAAGTGAAGTAATTAAATATTCCTTGTGCAAGGTGCAAGTGAGGTTAAACTTCACCATGTTCAAAGTAAAAACTACTATCCCTCAACCATTCCAAGTACTGGACATGACTTGTTCTACACAAGTTGAAGTCCTGCTTTCTTGAAGATTAGTTTCGTGCAAAGCTACCTATGATGAGAGATGCCCTAAGTCCTGACCATTGGTCCAAGTTCATTACTGAATGATTTATTTTTACCATTCTAGCTGGACTCACAAACAAGCAATTTAAGAAAACTGCAGCGCAAT